AACCCGATTAATTAGGTGCATTTAAAGTCCATTGTTTCAGCATTCAAAGTTTAATTATCGATTGATTGGGAGGGGGCTCCATTAGAATAGGGAAAATCGCGTAGATATATGGGGCAAAGATACAAATGAAACTTAGATGAATACTAATAGCAAAGAGATATGGATTTAGTTCAGAATTATTGTAACATTTCTTTTAATCACCTTTGATTTAACTTTGAAGGTGTCTTTCTGAGACCAGTTTATAAGCTCTAAAATTATTCTAATCTATTTGTTTATAATTTTTTTGGTTAAAAAAAATAAGTTGGGAAAACCTACTTTTTTTTTTTTTTTTTTTGGTTTATAAACACTTTGCTTATAAACTACTTTGACCAAGTATACTACTACATTACCCCTATTTAATTTATTATATTTGTTCATTAGTTTATTTTATATAAAGAATCTAAAAATTATTCATATAAATTTTTAATAAAATATTTGTCTATAAACTATTTGTTTATTTAATTCTAAAATTAAATTATATTGTAATATGATTGAAATATATTTTGATAATATTATAGTAAAAAATTGAGATAATATAATTTGTTATTTGATAAAATAATGTAGTATCATTTTCACTCATTTTAATAACAAAATATACTTATAAGCCATATTTTATCAAATGCGTCATTACTTATCAGTCATTTATAAATATTTTAACCAAACATGTAACTGCTTAAATTTCAAATGCTTATAAACTCAAACTATATTATGAACACTAGCTACTTATAAGCTAATTTTAATAAGCTCGGCCAAACAAACTCTTTAAATAGTCAATTTTATATAAAAAATTTGTAATGTTTTCTCCCTTTAATTTGTCAATTGTTTTTCACCTTTTAAGAATATATATAATACATATAAAATGATCAAAATAGGTATTTTTTGGAAACTAGGTTTTTTATTATTATTATTTGAATGTATTAAATATATAGAGTTTTTTAAATAAGAAATTTTAAATTTAGAAAAAAAAAAAAAAATTATATATGGACACTGGTTAGTGGAGTTGCCAGCCAACTGTCTCTGGTGGTGCATCTGGCAACATCGCCAACAACACAAGTCAGAAAAACACCATTGTATAGATCGTCACCCAACAATCTCAATGGTGTCAACAACGTAGTCGAACATGTCACCGGCAACTCTAACAACTAGTTTTTCATTTTTTTTTTTTTTTTTTATTACACTATTAGTTTTAAGTAAAAATTATTTCTAAAAAAGAAAATTCTAAATTCTAAAAGATGTATAAACCTACTTTGGAAAACCTTTAATATAATAAATTGTCTAATATTAATCTATTTGACACATAATTAGTTTTGAAATATGTTTACCGAATGCTTTTGGGTTACTAGCTTAAGAAATAATCGATAGGAACTCCATGTCTAAGCCTAACTAATTTGGGATTGTTGTAGTTTCTCATTTAATCACTTTAGATTCAAACTTTATAAATAATCTACATAGTGTTTGTTTTATTAAATTTTAAATTTACTTTCGATTTTAAGAGAATAAAGAGGGCTGAAATGAGTTTTATTTGGTAAACTGTTTTAAATGGTGAAGGTTTGTCTTTCACTACATCTATGACCATTGTACTTTCATTCAGCTATTTCAGGAATTTTGGCACAAGTTTATTTACAGATCAATCAGCCTTTTTGTTTTTTTAATTATTATTATTTTTTTAAGAATTTATTACATTGCCACTCGAACGTTTGGTACAGAACCTTGTTCCCTCTCAGTTTTGGGAAACTAATGTTACCACCCTGAATAACATTTATGTTAGTTAAATGTATTAATTCAAGAGGTAGAAAATATATTTTGAATAAATTGTTGGTATTTGTTGCTAATCAATTATAAGTTTTGGGAAAAGTAAGGTGACCGTTTAGGTATTTGTTATGACTAAGAAATCAAAGGCTGACGTGGAGTTGCGTGACGAAACGTGGCCTGCTCCCGTCAGAACGGTAAGCACACGTCAAGCCTGCCAAACGCCCTGGTACTCCCACGTGTCCGCTAGCCTGCTCCAAATCGCGTGAAATCGGCTTGGAAAATGGGTAATGGGACGTAAAATCAGATTAGGTCCTGACAATCACACCAACCCAAGGATTTAGTGATGATTACGGACATACAACTGGGTATAAGAAGAGGAAGACCCCTTCATTAAGGGGATTCGACAATTTTACACAAAAAAAACTCTCTCTCTCTCTCTTACGCTTTTGTATCTATTTCCCAACCTTTTATAAGTCAGTCCGCTGTCGCGACCTGACCCACACTATCAATATCAATACAAATCAGTGGACGTAGGACTTGCTACCTGAGCATCCGAACCACTTTAAAATCTCTCTTTGCATTTATTTCCTTTTGACTCACAATCACGTGTGCTTCTTGGCCAATTAATGCTGCACACGTATCGATTAGTTGGTGCCTAAAATCCCGCATCAACAGTATTGTTATTATTCTAGAATGTAAAAATGGTTTGTTGTAGACTAAAACTACTAAATTTGACCTGTTAGTGCTTGTATTTGGGGTTTTGAAGTTAATGTCCCTAAGTTAGAGGGAGAAAAAAAACTTTCTCATTTATTATACTAAAAGTTCTTGTTATTGTTAAAGTGCAATTTAAGAATTGATTACTTATCAGTGACTTTAATACTTCATTAATAACCTCTTTTAAAATTTAGAAATTGTTATAATTTTAATAGTGTAATTGCAATAAAATAAACTAAGAGGGACTAAAGGAAAACAGCAAAATAAAGAGGGCTGAGATGAGAATCTCTTTTTATGGACAGACAGCAAAATCCCACCAATATAAGATTATCTTGATAGTGTGGATCTTGACATGCAGTTAACAAAACAAGCACATTCCTCTTTTATCTGTTCTTGTGATCCCAGAAATGAGTTCGAAATTTAGAGCCAGTGCAGTCACTCTTGGATTTGATATCATGACATGTACAGGAGAGGAGATAAATCCTTCAAAAATGTGTACAGGAATGGAATATAGAGACTTTTAACACTTTTATTTGTAATTGTTTTGCTTTTGTACCCTATATTTTATCTTATTAGATTGCCATTACTTTTTTTCCTTAAATATAATTTTAAATTATGACCTAAAATATTCAGAGGCAATTAGGGTGGTTGATCTGACGTGGCATAGAAAAGACAAGAATGGTGGGAATGTTTTGAACCATGTTCTTGTCCAGGAGTGGAAATTAGAGACAGCCAACACGTACGCCTGGATTGGATGGATTGTTTGATTCATATGCACCGTTGGATGATCCATGCTCTTCCCATTATAAATATAGTCTGCTTCTGTCTTCTGTGAGTACATGCGAGCCATCTTTTTGTCTTAGCTGTTTCAGAAGTCGTGAAAACATGAGTTTCTCCATTGATTTGAGGCGTTTCTTCCTACTCCTGCTAAATATTTTCATCTTCTTTCTACCAATGGAACTTCAAGTTAGAAACATTCGTCGATATCCATTTCTATTTATCCTGTTAGTAATTCGTACTCTTCTTTTACTATTAATTTTCCTCTCCACACCCGTCATTGTTATACTCCCTCTTAGTAGGAGTCATCCCATCTTCTTGCTCTTGCATCCTGAAAAATTCTCTCTTCTCTTGGCTCTATCAATCCTATTCTCATTCATTTTGCCACCGTTACACTTTGGAAATCGTATCTCTATGGTATGCACTAGTATGAAGTCTAATTAAACTCTTATTCAACTGCCTTCTACACATTTTATCATTAGTAGCCTATATTTTTCTTATTATCATATCTCTATTGTATGGACTGCTAGGGGGTATGGTTAAACTCTTCTTCAACTGCCTTTTTTTTGTTGGGCAAGTATTTCTTCAACTTCCTTCTTCGCACCCTATCATCACTGCCTACTATCTTTATCACTGGGGTCAACCAAAATCAAGAAAATGCAGAACCAGCTCTTGTTGAAGAGTTTGAAGGACTTGAAGTAGGAGAAAACCTGATCGAGCATGTTATGGAGCAAGTTGTGATTCAAAGATAGGTATTTAGTACCTATATATGTAGAGACAGATCCAAGTTTATGGTTACCAGAAGCTTTATTTGGGGTTAGGTTGAAATACTTTTGTGTTTGAAGCCTGTTTTATTGATTTAGAGTTTAGTATTTTCATAAATCATATGTTTTTGTTGATTTAGTATTTAGTATTTTTCATAAATCATACTTTAAAATTAGTGAATATATGAATTATACTGTCCATTCATTGTATAGATCGTCAACCAGCAATCTCAATGGTGCCAAGTGCCAACAGTGTCATCGATAACTTACCAACTAGTTTTTCATATATATTTTTTAAAATTTTTTATTACATTATTTGAGTAAAAATTATTTCTAAAAAAAATAAAATTTTAAATTCTGAAAGTTGTACAAACCTACTTTGGAATACCATTAATATAATAAATTGTCCAATAATCTATTTGACACATAATTAGTTTTTGAAATATGTTTATCGAACGCGATAAGAACTCCATTTGCCTGTGCTCTCACAAACTTAAAATTTATTAGAAAAATAAACCATTGTTTAGAATTAAAATGAGAGAATTTGCAAGAGAAAACACAATACAAATAATCCAACCTCCCAACATTCATTCTATATATAACCTTACGTATGCTTCATACTTCCCTAAAACAAAAAATAGAACATCAACCAGAGAATAATATGCGCGACGATTGATGATGAAAGAAGCATAATTCTTTCATCGAATTCATTTAAGTTATAGCATAAGACCGAGATTCAACTGCATTAATGCCTGGACTAGCAATACTAGTGAGTCAGTGACTAAGCCAGAGCAGTGCCTAGTTTCACTGTTAATGACTAGCTTCAAACAACAATCACCCGTATAAAACTGCAGGGGAAAGTTAAAAAAGATCCCAGCCAAAAACTAGTTATGTACATCTTATGTTTTTTATTCACATGCAATTCACGAATAATTCTTTCGTCAATACCCTAACCTTCTTGATTTAAAGGACCCGAAGTTGTGCAAGAAAGGCCGCGCAAAGATCCAGGAAGAGCAACTGCGGACCTTGAACCCTCTGAAGATCAAGCAGGTATTTCTCCTCGCGAGTTTTGTAAAGCTGTCAAACCCATTAGTAGGAAAGGCATTATCAGCAGAAAACATTTAGAGACATTTTACATATCAGATTTATTTTTGTCTTCAAATAGCAAAATGGTTTACACTTAAACTATCACTGTAAAAGGAGGCCCAACTAGGTCTTTCACTTGCTTGAGAGAGTGATCGATGTTGACATTCCTATCTCAGTATTAAAAAAATTTGTACACCACCATTATATTGAATAATAAAATTGAGCATATTTGAGTTACCTGCACTTCAAACTTGATTACATTTGGTGACTTGATAACGTCATTCTCAATAATGGTAGATTCCTCCCCAAAGTAGTGATTATTGTGTACATGATTATTAATCATGCCTTCATGATGACCAGGGACGCCAGGAATCCACCTGCACTTCATGTTGTAGTGCCCGATCTTCTTCCAGCATACATTCAGTTCTTGCAAAGCTTTGAGAACTTCTGTCATTATTTCACGTGGATGGGCACGGGACTGTCAAAATAAAGGCAACAAAATAAACAATTAAAGTCAATAACATGTCAATTAGTAAAGGTCTACTCAGCCTTTTAAATAGTTCACAAACACAACCACCTGCAGTCCAAGAGACCATTTTCTTTCAAATGGCATCTGTGCTCTTAATCCCATTCCTTGATAATCCATGAACGCTGGAAGGCGATTCCCAACAGGTGAAGCAACTTCACCAGGATGCATACGGTTGAAACCAGATTCCTGGAAAAATTATATGAAAAAAGAAAAAGTAACCAAAGAGGTTGTAAAATTCAGAACATATATGAAATATGTATAGATTCCACAGAATATAACTACTAACTAACCAGATTACGAAATAATTCTACATAAAACGACAATAGTAAATAACTTGGGTCCAGGACAAAAATATCATCTCTTTCACATGCAAAAAATTGATTATAGTGCTCCAGCAAATTTAATTAGGAATCTTTTACAACAGGACAAGCTCCACAAGGGAAGTGACAAAATTAGGTAGTTTAGCATCATGCCTTCTCATAACCCAGGTAGACTACAAACGACTATAAATTTCTGTTATAAGCAACTATGATAAAAAAAATTAATATTGAAAAAGTAAAGAAGAAGAAATGGCATTCATTAGATCAAAAAATAATTGGCATGCAAAATGATAACCAACACAAAATAGACTTAGGGAAAACTACCGCACCATAGTTTCTTGAAACTCAGCCCCAAGATAACCACTGGAAACACGGAAACGGTTGTCCAGCAACAGATAGTATGCAACAGTAGCCTGAAATATGCAGCAACTAATTAGACACAATTAAAAAACCTAACGCAAGAGAATTGGAAAGTTACCAACCTCATTTTGTATTCTGTTGCGAAGAGACTCAACCACTTGAGTTTGATCAAATCCCATCTTAACCACTTCCTTAAGAATCTCCTCATCAATCTGCCAGAACCACAATTATATTTCAATTAACCATCACAAAAAATATAATAGCACAATTACCAATAAATACAATTTAAGCATTCAAGAAGTATTGTTCCAGATAGATACGTTCCTTCCTACGTAATTTAATTACAAATTACACCAATACCATAATTATAAAGCTGGCCGCGAGGAAAATTTGCTTAATAATGAAAGCACTATACTCATTTTATATTTACGACCGAAATTGATAAACGCACTGAAAAATTCAACCAACCTTTTTGGCTTGTTGCATTGTGTCAGGTGGGGGAACAGCTAAATAACGTGGAAGATGGGCTTGAAACCATGGATGTTGACGAATATCTGGAATGGAAATTCGCTTCATTGGATCAACTATAAGCATCCTTGGGATCAAATCTCTTGCACCCGGAGACAAATGACTAGGAAGTGTGTATATCCCGCCCTATGGTTCCATGAAACCATCAGTGAGCTCAAAAATATAAATGAAGGATTGGCAATCCACGCCCGTATCAACTGTTGCAGATTTAGCTGACTTCAAAAATAACAAACTTGATTGCATAAATTCAGTAATACCTTTATTTTCTTAAAAAGATTGGGAATGTTTTCATCATCAAAAGGAAGGGTCCCACAGAGAAGAGCGTACAATATAACACCGCAGCTCCACACATCTACTTCAGGCCCAGCATACAGTTTTCCAGAAATAACCTATATAATGTAATGGGACTCACAATGTTAGCTTGAGATTGTTATTCCACAAAATAACTTCATTCATAAAAGTGAAACAAATGAGCTCAAGACTTTTAGCAATAAACTCTAAATTGAAATGTTCATACCTCAGGGGCAGCATAATTTGGGCTTCCGCAACTTGTCTTCAGAAAATGACCATCTCGCATTATATTGCTCAAGCCAAAATCAGCAATTTTTACATTCCACTTGGAATCTAAAAGCAAATTTTCGGGCTTAAGATCTCTATGAACCACCATGTTTCGGTGGCAGTACTCCACACCAGAAATTATCTACTCAGACAAAGATTTAATTAAATGTAACCCAATTGGAGAGATAATAATAAACAGTAGAATCCAATATACAATAGTTGCCAATCCCCACCTGCTGAAAAAAAACTCGGGCTTCATCCTCCTGTAGCCTGCCCTTCTCAACAATATAATCAAATAACTCTCCCGACTTCACATACTCCATCACGACGTAAATATCACTTGGGGTCTCTATGACTTCATAAAGTCGAATGATGTGAGGATGCATAAACAACCTCAAAATTTTAATTTCTCTTCTCACTGCCAAAGAAAAAAAAGGTAAGAGACAATGTACACACTTCTATATAACACCATATCCAACTATGCCATTCATGCAAATTACAAGAATTATTACCCATGAAGAGAAACAATAGACCTTTCTCCTCTTATTTAGTATGAGAAAGTAATCATGAAAACTACATATTACAAGAGCTTATAATTCAATCTCTAAGCCTTAATTACATGATATCAAAGTAAGCTGCATACATCACAAAAAAGGAAAACAGAGAAATAATTCTGATCATGGAAAATAAACCGAATTAACAAAGTATAGAAGTGTTTTTTTATACCAGACAAGATCATAATTCAAGGACATAAACCATACCTTTCTCTTCCATTTCCATATTTTTGATCTTGCGACGATTAAGTATCTTGATAGCAACTTTATGGCCAGTCAATGCATGCTCCGCAATTTTCACCTTACCAAAGGATCCAATTCCTAGAGTTTTACCAAGCTTATAATTTGGTAAAAACATATCCACACCACTGCCACCTCGACTAGATCCATCCATGTTCCTACTCAGAAAACAAGATTGAGAGATGAGAATACAAACATGGCAATAATTAGAGTTCCTCACAAACATTCGTGTTAACAAAAGCAAAGAAATCAAACACATCTTTCAAAACTCATTCAATTTTCAGTCACAACTGAACTTAATAACATCTGACCTGATCTACTCCCAATCTTCCAATTGTACACATGGCAATAATAGAGTTCCTCACAAACATTCGTGTTGAGCAATCCAAGAAACCAAACACATTTTTCAAAACCTGATTCAATTTTCAGTCACAGAAATAATTAACTTCTGAGCTGATGTACTCACAATCCTCGGTAGAAAAACTTCATATTTCCCCAGAAAACAACCCAATTTCACCTCTTAAAACCAGATGGGTGCGGCTAAATATTCAACCACGTTGTTCTACCACCAAAAGCTAAACTTATTAAGCAAAACCCCAATACCATTACCAGAATCAACAAATTCCACTAAACTGAAATATCAGATCACTAACCCATTACGTCGGATCAACACATTTCTTTAACCCATTACATCGGATCAACGCCTCAGTATAAAAACATGAACAATATCTAACAAAATTCACTAACACAAAACATAAACTCCTGTTTTCGCTCTGTAACTAGTTTGATAACATTACCAGGTCAGTACCACAGTGCTTTTTCAGAAAACGAATATTTTAAACCATAAAATTTCCCGTACAAGTATGATAAACCCTAATAAACAACTAACCCAGATTCATCAATCCCACAAAGACCACAAAAGTAAACATCTTTCGCCACAAATCTAGCCAAACGAAGCTTCAATTACAGCAATACCAACTCAATTTCATCAAAACCCCCCCAAAAAGAAAATATTCAACAAAACCCTAGCTTAAACAACAGATCTCAAACCCAACCCAAACGACATCGAATCAAACCTACGAAATGACAAACACAACAACATTCACATCAAATCAAACAGAGAAGAACTTACAGAGCGGGAATCCGAGCGAAATCGAGCTTCTAAACTTCAAATTAAAGCTTGAGAAATAGGAAAATAAAATTAAAACGATTCAATTACAAAACACTCCAATCGAAGATTTTTTTTTTCTTTTGGGGATTTAAAGTGAGTTAAATTATGTGATTATTAATTATTATCATGATAATAATAACAATAATAATCGCAAAAGAGATTTAAGGGAAACAAATATTTTTGTTTGGTTTTCAACTGAATACATAAAAATATTCTCTGTTTTGTCTGTGGGAGTTACACAGAGAGAGAGAGAGAGGACGCTTAAACGAACGAAAATTTATCGTTTCTGATTTTATGTGTTTAAAACATTATGAAAATGATTTTTTTGCCCTTTGATTTTGATGTATTGACAGGACTATCCTGCTTGGATTTCCAATTTTGTTTGATTATCAGGATTCGGATTGTGAGAGTTCAAAAAATTTGTAATGATAAAAGTACTTTAATTTATGTTGGTTGAGACTTAAGATTTTACTACAAGATTTAGTAGATACAAAATTGGTTGTCAAATACTAGGTATAAGATTTGTAATTAATAAAATCCATTTTTTAAAGGTATTAATCTTGAATGGGAGTTGGAAATACTATTATCTAGATCAATCCGATAATATTTAAATATAATTATGACATAATTAATATTAAAAGGTTTGTAACTAAACTAGACTTTTGATTTGAAGGACTAGTATGATTGTTATATGTATCATCAGATCAATTCAATAATATTTAAATATAATTATGACATAATTAACATTAAGACGTTGTGACTAGACTTTCGACTTGAAGGACTAGTATGATAACTAATGTTAGATCTACAACCCAATTTCACAATCTTCTCTCATAAACTTCCGACATGGCAACTCGTCATTAGTTAGCTCCAAATGGACAGATAGAACCCATACAAACAAGCAAAACTCATTTTATGAGTTGACCAATGAGGAGCTACCACGTCGAGAGTAATGAAATTGGATTGTAAACCTAGCATTATTCGTAGTATGATGGTTATATGTATGATCAGATCAATCCGATAATATTTAAATATAATTATGACATAATTAATATTAAGATGTCGTGACTAGACTTTCAACCTGAAAGACTAGTATAATGAGTAATGCTAGATCTATAACTCAATTTCACAACATTCTTTTACAATATCCGACGTGGTAACTCGTCATTGGTTAGTTCGCAAATAGGTAAACAAGACTCATACAAGCAAGCAAAACTTATTTTATGAGTTGATAAATAACAAGTTGTCACGTCGAAAGTTGTGGACTTAATATTATATATATGATCTGATCAATTCAATTCAATAATATTTAAATATATTTATGACATAATTAACATTAAAATGTTGTGACTATACTAGATTTTCAACCTAGAAGACTAGTATGATGGTTAAATGTATGATGAGTAAGAAAAATCAGAGAATGGATGGATGAACAAAGAATAATAGGACAATTTTGAATGGCGGGTGATGAGATGATGTTGATGAGTCAGAAATGTGTTGTCATTCCTATTTATAATTATTAAAATTAATATGAATATTTATATTAGGCAATGAGAAAAGCCCAAGTGGGTTCACATGTTAAGCTCAGTCTCAAGGCTGACAACATCAAGATACCGAGCTTTTTAGCACGTCTCTGCCTGTTGTCTGCATCAGCAAATTGACCTCAGAGCTTATCTCTTCTTACTAAGTTTCGCACATTTTGGACCGTATCTGTAATAGTACTAGTAGAGTGTTAGACTTAAGGAAAATTACATATCTGGGTCCCTGGGTTTTCATCCATGGAGCCCATGTATGAAAACCGGGTCGGGTTGGTTGGACCCATGTTAAAAGAGTAGAATTGCAGTACATGAACAAATTACAGATGCTTGATGTTCCACTATACTTAACGAGGTTTTTTAAGTCATAGAGTGAAAAATGCAGAAATTATTCTATTATGTGAAATAATATACACAAATCCAAAAGCAATAGCTCGTGAAAATTTTAACAACGATATGAAGGCGTGTGCTTCAGTAATCAGGGATGGCGGAGAAGCGATATCCTTGAATGCCCCTCCATGAATAATATGCTATCCGGGTCTCATAAAAGCCTACAACCAGAAGAAGATTGATCTCACACTGATCAGTTTATCGGGTTAATAGCATTTAGAAAAGTAATAAAAAGAACAAGTAATTGGCAGATGAATAAAACAGCATTTCTGATTTACTACTGAACATAGCTTCATAAACTGTAGGAAATTAAACCTCAAGGTCAAGACATCTTTATATGGAATTCTCAACAAAAAAAGGCTATAAAAATGAGGGCTCCTGGTACAGGTTTGTTTGGGACTATGGCATGGAACCGTAATTAGTCCAAAAGGTAATACAAGCTCATGCAGAACCATATTCCGAGCTATTATTCTATGCAATACAAGATTTTCAGATTCCAGAACAAGAAAGGACAAATATAATTCAACCCCTCTAGAACCTTAGGGTTCACTTTGGTAAGAAGTAATTGACAATCAAAGCAGAGTGAGCATATTTTATTTAACACAGGAAGATTGATGGTTCAAATTTCTTTGTTACAGCATTTTAAAGCAAAAGTTCGAGAAAAACTTCTGTCAGACAAAAATGATAGAACTTCATGGCTTCAAGACTGTGCCCAATGGTGTGCAGTTGAAATAACTGAAACCAAATGAAAGGTACTCACTTAATTTATAAAATAAAAACAGCTATTTTGCTTCAATGCAAGTCCTGCAACTTAATCTCCAAAAAAGAGTAAAACATGCTCTTTTACTGAAAGATAATCTCTATAATTGACAAATTCTGCGTTCAAGACATAATTGAGGCAAAGCACGCAAAAGAGTTGTAACTAAGAAAAGTCTCGTACAATTTGAAGAGTTCCAAATCTAGAATTATAATGCTTTATATGGCATTCGGTAACCTTGTATAAGTGTATTGGATTGAGGAAGTTAATTTCTGTAAAGCACTTTTCTTCCACAAATGATGAGTGCATCATACAACAGTGCATGTTGGAAAAGATACTGAAACATAATTAGGGATCCAGAACCGGGCAATTTTGTTGGTTTAATCCTTCAAAGAACTATACCATCCATAATAAGCCTCTGATCTTTTTTTTTTTTGTTTTTTTTTTTCAGAGTTTCCTATTCTACCAGAACACTAGATGGTTGAAAAAAAAAAATGTAAACCTTTTTCACTATATACCTCTCTACATCTATACACAACCCTTTTCACTAAACTGTTTTGCTAAACGTTACAAGGATGCCAAATGAGGCCTATACCAGAAACCAAACTATTCCAAATGGGGCACAAATCAATCAATATAAACGCATAAAAGCTATCTAGCCTTCCACATCAATTAACAGACACATATCAAGAGAGTATTAAATAAAAATTTCATATAAATGGTCTGACATCCATGGGCTGCAACTGAAGACAGGCAAATTGATCTTCAGCCTACACGTTTACAACTAAATATAAATAATAAAATTATCATATACATTCAGAGCCCTTTAAGATTCTTTGCTTCTTTAATCATATGCCTGATTCCATTCGCAGCTAAACATGTTCAACATAAGTTATACAGTATGTTGCACAAAAAGAAAATTAGACATCAAGTCCAAGAGGCAAATATAGCAAAAATTAAAAAATTAGGCACATTTACCTGGAAGGAATGTAAGAATTCCAAGGACTAAAAGGCCATAAGCTTGGGCCTTCTCTCCCCCCATGTGACCAGTGAAAATAAACACAGAAAGAAAAAGAAGCAGTGATCCTAGACAAAGCAAGAAAAATGCGAGTGCAATTGACTTCCATGGGATCCTATCAAAGGCTTTCGGTGAATAATCAAATCTAGGATCATAACGCTGCCTCCTATCACCATCATAAACATCATCATAATCATCGGTAGCAAGTTTTTCATAACAAACATTGCGCTTAGATGCCATATCAACCAAACCCAACTCTTAATAATTATCCCCAGGGAATCACACACCAAATACCTGAAGCCTTCAATCCAAAATCAAACAAACAAACAAATTTCTTCAGAACTCAAATCAAATTAGAAAATTCACAAAAGCAAAATACAAACAAACATAATAAGTCAAATAAAAATATAAAACATAATAAAGCAACCAACAAAGAAAGACCTAAGAAGGAAGAAGGGAACCCAATTATTCTCCTATTGTTTCTGAAATCTAAACAACAGGGTATTTTTGTTACTGACTGACTTCAATCAATGGGATACAATCTCTTAAGACTAGTTAATAACTCGATCTAGATCTTTTTCTTTTCAGCTTTATATGTTATACAAAGGGGACAAGCATCACGGAAAATAGGATCCTCTTTTACTTATGATTGAACATCCCCACAGAAGGAATCAAGAGTGAGAGTAGATAAGAGTTAGTGACCAATGGAAGATATCAATTCGAATATCTATATTTGAATATCTATGTCTGTCTATCTGCCTTTGCTTTCAAGAAGAGAGCGGCCACACTGTAACTACCAGAATTTGGGGGAGAAAAAGAGTTCATCTCAGAAGTAATTGGTGTCAAAGTATAAATCTATACGCTTATGGTGTAGAAAGATGTTAAGATCATAGATTGATTAGTTATTCTTCAAATAAATTCATTCGCTTTATATTACAATAATTCAAGTTGCTTGGCATCCATTTCAAAGTATTTCAAATCAAAGCATTTCCATATTCTCATCCTCTTATTTTAAAGTAATCTACAATGAGAGTATTCAAATATATTTATCAGTTTCAGTTTTCACTAAACAAAGAAATTTTTTTGCTATGAACAATCAATTATGCAATTAAAAACAAAATTAATATATTAAAATATAAGATTTATGCCAATAGGAGTTGCTGGCACAGTGGCAATCTAGCTTATAAGTAAGTAAAATTTTATAATTTTACAGAAAACTGCTTTTCTATAGTTGTCAAACACGCCATAAGCTAAGATTTGATGAAAACTATAAATGAAGAACAATAATAGCAATAACACGAAAGAGAACGGATTAAAAGATAAAATTATGGATGAGAAAAGTACAATGAAAGATTGATCGAAAAATGGCGAGACTCACCGGAACGTCGTGGTCGGTGGAGGGTGTGGCGTTGGCTTGCGCGGACGGAGAGATAGCCGAAGTTTGAAGTAAGAATTTTATGAGTCAAAGACGGGCTATTTGTAGGATTGATTTTGAAAAATAACCCATATTTTGAATGACTATAATGCCCCTCCTTATAAAAAGAATAAAATGACCTAAAAATATGTCTAAATAACCTTTTATATAACTCAAACTCTTTATTATAAAATGTTTGTCCATAAAAACAAGAATTCAATAAACTCTTTATTTTATAAATATAAATTATAGAATAAGTTTCACTCTATATATCTAGAGAGTCAAATTTCACTCTCTATCCCTATTTTATTTAATAAATTACAACTTTCTATACATTTTATTATTAATTCTCTCACTTATTAAGCCTTTTTCTTATTTATTAAGTTTATTTAAAAAGTCCATTGGATTTGAATACAAATTTTGTTATTTATATTTAGCTTAATTTAAAAAGCCTTTCTCTTATTTATTACGTTTATTTAAAAAGTCCATTGGATTTGAATACAAATTTTGTTATTTATATTTAGTTTAATTTAAAAAGTCTATTAGATTTGAATACAAATTTTGTTATTTATATTTAGAAATTAATGAAGATGCTTTTTATTCATGTGGAATATGCTCTTTAAAATAAAAAGCACCATTAGAGATGTTCTAACCGTTGGCTTCAAACAAACGATTCTGTGGGTTATTGGGTAAGTAATGTTACTGGTGTTTTAAATAATATAAATAATTTTTCACTTAGTAATATTCATAAATCTCTTATATAGTAAATTAAATCTCAGTGGACAATATTGTTGTGGTAGAGGTGGTAATGCTAAAATGAATTATTACGCAAGGCATAGGGGGGGAGGTTATAAGCACTATTTTAAAACTTGACCTAACCAGTTTGACTGGTCAAATCGGGACTTGGGGCCTTCTCCGAGCCAAGTCACCCTTGTCCACTGTTTTAAAACCTTAATATTCACGAAGAAGCAAACCCTAGAGAAGACGATAGCAATTCGTGAGTAGACAATAGCGGGTTTGTTGGGAGGTTTTACAAAGGAAGTGTCAATGAGTTGAAAGGTGGCGACCAAGGTGATTTCTAGTGAGTGAAACATTAAAAAAGGCAAAAGTTGAGTAGCCACAATAGTGGGTTGTTACCAGCGATTGGCGGGGCAAATAAGGCAGAGGGGGTGAGATAGGTTTTGGTCAAAAGATTGAGGAAGAGTATTTTAGTTGTGATGGGAGTGGTTGTCGATGTCGAAAACATGCCTATTTGGCCTGGGCTGGCAATCATACATGGTGGTTTTTTTTTCGCAAAAAAATGGTTCAATTTCAGCCAGTTCTTAGGCATATTTGCTAGAGAATGGCTCCAATGATGAGTCAGATTTGCATTTGGTGTATCGTCATTGCCAACCAATTGACCGTCGATTTGCATTTGACTAGATCATAGGAGTGTGTTTGTTGGATTTCAAATCTCAGGATATGCTGATATCACCAATCTGACCTGGGACCCAACCACTTTGCCGAGTTTCACCCCGAGTTGATTATTAAAACATTAGTTATAAGTATCTATATCCTAAAATTGGTTCTTGACAGAATGAAAAAAATATTTATGAAGTATCATAACCACATAAATACAACCGTAATCGAAATACATTCATTTGTTTTATATACGACAAGAGGAGATATATTTAATAATCCATCCTTACATTTATATTGTGATTGACTCTCAACAAGATATATTAACATGACATATTTCTCTAATTTAAATTAGGAATTATCGTATTAATCAAAACATAAATATAAATATGATATTTTTATAAGTTCTATTTTCAAAGCAACGAATATAATTATATATATATAAAAAAAAAAAAAGATAAACCATTTTATCAATTTCCAATATTTATTTAGTTTTAATGGTAGAGTTAACCTGGGCCAGTTTTTCAAAGTTTGTGGTTGTACTTGACTGTGAAGGTGACGGGCATTAATATGGGCCGTGGATTTTTCTCTTCAAAGGCGTGTCTCAGCCGTCGTGAAGTTGACTGATTTGGAAACTGTCAAAATTGACGTGCCTTAAAAGGGGGGTGGGTCATTTTGGCTGATTCTACGGAACTGAAATTCTGTGATCATCTTAATGGCCTTCTTTGAGGTTACTGTCAAATGTTTCTCTTGTTGGCTGTTATTGATCACAGGGAGTTTGGCTTTTCAACGGCTATGGTTGTTTGTTTACTAGAAAAATCAACGGTGGTGGAGGGTTTGCCGGTTTGGTTTGTATAAAGCAAATGTTGTTTTGTAGAAAATTCTACAAATGACATGTCAGTTATTGGTTAGAAAAGAAAACGACTTGTCAATGGATAGACGAATAACGGAATGACATGTTTCCGTTGAGGACAAATTTGGTACTGTACGTCACGTTTGTAAAATCATTTCTCATTCCAAGTCATACAACATTCAAAATTTCGTATTAACAAGAGACCCTTAAGGTTTCCAAATTTATCATTTGGATGACAATTTTTGCGCTTTTCCACCCTCAAAGTTTGAAACTAGATCATATATACCCCTTTGCCTTAACTCCATTATATTGCTGTTTGTTATAGATGGGCGAAATGATAACTTTGGTCTTTTAAGAAAGTGTTAGGGTAAAAAAGTAACTTTGGTTTTATAAGAAAGTGTTAACGTAAAGGGATACATGTGATAAAAATTTTAAAAGTGTGAAAATTATTGTCTGACCGATAAATATGAAAACCTTAAGGATGCGTTTTGTTCAGGGAATGTTGGATTACTAGAAGGGGGCGTTTGGTTCAGGAATGTTAGATTACTGGGAATATTGGATTACTGGAAAGATAGATTACCTTGAAAGATTACTGGAATTTTTAAGAAAATGTGTTTGGTTAGTTGGTCGGTATGTTATATTAATATGGTTGGTTATGGAGAATAAATTGGTGGGTATGTTATTTAAATTACCAAATTATCCCCTTTACAAATATTAATATAATATTATTTTTATTATTAATTTTTGAATAATTTTTTTTAACCCCCAATATTTCAGATTTAGTTAAAACACCCCTGCTTATATAAAACTTTAATTTATTATGAAATCACCCCCACCTCCTGTCGCCGCCTGCCGCCACCGTAGACCACCGCTGGAAGTCTCCGAAAGTCCCCATTAGCAACTCACCGTGACTAAGAGGCTTCGATATGGCCGTTTCCGGCCATATTGATAGCCGAAAACGGCCATATCAGGCCAGATCGGTGGATCTGACCGTTAATGGCCAGATCCCTGGCCATTATCGGCCATATCTGGGGGAGATCTGGCCGTTAACGGCCGCGGACCTAGCCGTTAACAGCCAGATCTATTTCGACCGGAATAGATCTGGCCGTTAATAGATTCTGGCCTTTTTCGGCCAGATCTGGCTGTTTTCGGCCATCAATATGGCCGAAAACGGCCATAGCGATGACTCCCGAAGCCTCCCATCGAAATTCGTTCTTTTTTAGGGACTCCGACGAGTTTTCTGAGGCGGTCCGTGGTGGTTGGCCGCTGTAGACGGTGGTGGCTGGGTGGCAATGGTGGTGGTGGCTGAGTGGCAGTGGTTTGTAAATTGTTTTAAATTCAAGGACATTATTGTCCAAAATTTTAGTTAAATAAGGGTAAAATTGAAATAGGATATTAATGTAAATTTATTTTAAAATGAGGGCATTATTGTCCAAAATTTTCATTAATAAGGGATAAAATTGTAACAAAAAAGGATAACCCTGGTAATCTCAGAATACCTAAGAAAATGGAGGTAATCAGATTACCTCCAATATTACAAATAGCAGTTACTATTAGTATTTGAAGATTACCGGAATCTTATATTACTTGACAACCAAACGTGGTAATCAAGTAATATCAGATGACATTACCCCAATAATCTGACATTACCGCCAACCAAACACCCCCTAAGGGTAGTTTATAATAATCTCCCCCGTATCAATTGGAAATTAATTAATTAATTGAGATGATTTAATCATCATCGTGCATGCTACGTGATGTCCACTAACAAGATTTGCACTAACACAAGTTGGTGGGATTAGATCATTGATGATCCAAATTAAGCTCTTGGCAATTGGCATCACCAAATGAGAGGTTATATATATATATATATATATATATATATATATATATGGAGGTTAAGATCTTGTGACTTAAATTTTTAATTCTTTTAATACTTTTTGTGAACTGTTAATTTGTATAGATCCAACAGTGATAAGATATTTTTTACTTAGGTTTAGCTTGGGAGTTTTATAGTAACGGTTATGAGAGTAAACCATCGCAGCGGTTTTGAGAGTAAAACACCGTAACGGTTTTGAGAGATTTTTAGTAGTGGTTTTTAAAACACTCAACCTGTGCTTAGGAGTTTATTTTCCAGCGATTCTGACAGTTTTTTAAAATGATAAATTTACATATATACCCATAAAAATACCCAAACTTCAACCAGCACTTGAGAGTTTTTTTTTTTTTTCAATTACTAGTACTTAGTATCAAAGTTCATTCCAAGTTTAATTTATTTCTAAGTTCTTTCATTGTATATTATTTAATTTATTTATATGTTATGAAGTCAAGCAAGTTCTCATGTCTGCTACGGCAGTGGTTTGTTTTCTTCAAATTCATTTCTAGCAATGAAACAAAGTAGCTGGGTACATGTATATTGTAAACCATATTTCTTCAAATTCATTGACTCTATTCTCACAATGTTCACCGCTGTCAATTCATTTCTTTTCAAACAAGTGGTTTCGTGCTGACATACATATTCTTCCTTTCCTTTTTATTCAATGTATTCCTTCTAATCCTGTTGTAAAATTACTATGTACATTATGAATAATTGTACGTCAAATTTTAGGGCAAATCAATCTAAAAAAAGTCACAATATCTCAAATGTGATTAATTTTACCGCTAACTGAAGACCTAATTAAAAAGAATAGCTTTTTGCAAATCTAGGGCAAATCAATTAAGAAGAACAAAGGATATTTCCCTCATTTAAGCATGGCATGGTAACCCCAAACAAAAAATAAGAGAGAAAGAGA